TCCTAGACCTCACAGAGTTATTATACAGTGTTTTGATGAGATTTGTTCTTGCTGGAGAGGCAGGGGTGGCCTTGAGATAAAAACAAGCACTTCCCAAGACTGTGATTCTAAATGACATTATTCGTTTAGGAAAGCCTTTCCTCTTTTTATTTCCTTTTTTTTTTTTTTTTTTAATTTTATTTCCAGCCTATGAAGAAGATAACAAAGGATGGTATGAACCCAGAAAACACTCTGATGTGTCACTGTGGATGCCAATCCCCATAGACACTCGCGATGTTATTAATTTTTAAAACAAACTTGCTGATTGAGGTTCTGACTGCCTTTAAATTGTCTCTACAAGGAGACTGTGTACTAATTAACCCACAGAAACAATCAATGATGTACCTTTTTCAAGTTTCAGGGTGATTAGAATATGAAAATGAAGAGCACAATGGTGCAGATGTTTTAAAATCACAGCAGACAGCAATTAGTGACATGGGAACCAGCTGCTTATCTCTCCAGATAAAGCCTCTTAATAGGGTATTACACTTGAGGAGCCATTACACAGATGGATCTGCGAATGATTTAAAGAGGGGGCGTTGTAGTATTAACTTTGATTTGCAAGCCAGATTCTTGACAAGCTGTATGTGTGTTACCTCCACAAAAAGGTGCGTTTGGAGCAGGGGAGTACCATCCTCTGTAAGCAATCAGATTTTTTTCAGGTGATGGGTTTCTCTAATTGCATATTTTATCATTATTATTATTTTTAGTTACATTAATTTTTATTTGGATTCTTTTTCTTGTTCTTACGTTACGAAGCTCTTGACTTGGTTGCTGGCATCTCCTACCGCTTTTTGCTTTGGGACTGGAAGCAGCATGTGGATTCAGAGAGAAGCTCCAGCGAGGGAATGGGGAGGCAGACTGAGACATCCAGTAGTTAAATGAAAAGAGTCCCTGAGGGATAGATTCTGCTGCTGGATATTGCTTGCAGAGTAGGGTGCCGCTCATCATGAGACTGATACGGTCTCAGCCTCTCAGTTGCAAGGGCTGCATGCCAGAATAAAACTGTTAAGAGGAGTAACCACCTCTGCAGGTGCAGGGTTGCACAGGTCTGGCAAAGCAGGTGTAAAAACACACAGTCCCACTTCCTCTGCTCTCTGGCGTGCGCTCTTCAGTTGCCAGTATATGGGATGGATCCTGCTCACAGGTCTACCTGCCACTGCGAAAGCTGAGGACTGAAATCATGAATTTGGCATTAAAATCGTATAATACTAATAAGAGGATTCAAACTTTATTTTTTTAGTCTAAAGTTTAGCATGTTCTGGATCACACTGCTCAAACTTATTTGCAGCTATGAAAACTATTAGCTTCTTTATGTGTATTTCATTTTCTTATAAGCAAAGACAGGATTATTAACCACTAAGCACATCCAGTAAACTGACTATTAAGAGAAATATTGACCAAGTCTGGTGAGATGTGATAAAATTGCACAGGTTAAGTTATGCTTCTACTTTTATTAAAGAAGGAGCAGACTCCCAGTGCAGAATAGCTAGTTACTGAAGAAAATCCCATTTAATGAAAGGGCAAACTACAAATAGAGGCAGGTGTTGAAGTTTGAAGTATTTTTAGGCTCTCATAAACCAAAAAGCAAATGAAAGTAAATATTGCCTTTTTCATGAAAAAGCCCACTATTCTTGATTCTGGTCTTGGCCATGCTGCCATAGGAACTCTGTTCAAATCAACAGCCCCGTGCCAAGACCTATGGAGCTGCAGTATATTGCACGCTTACTGTCAAATAAAGTACTGAATTTCTGTGAAACGCATCAAGATACAGGTTTTTGAAAAGCCTTGTTTGCTCTCACCTTACTGACAGCTCTGGAATCCTCCTCTAGCTCAGCAGAGACTTAGGTTAGCTGAGCTGGAGCTTGTTGGATTCTTAGGGTGGTGCTCACCTCCCAGGGAAAATGGAAGCTTAAACATTAGGACCAGTGCAATCAGACAGCAGCCCAGACGGATACACAGGGAATAAAATACACTTGACTGCATCACTTTCAAATTATTTAGTAGTGCTTTTAGGTAAACAGTCCCCACATGTCCATTGCAGCCAGTGAAATCCAACCTGCTGTAGCCAAATGATCTCTGATTGCTGTAGAAGAATTATTTTGGGGTGATATGGATGTGTCTGTCAAGGGAGAGAGAATAGTAAATGTTATGCTGAAAGAAGTTGTATGAGGAAACCCAGTGGGCTGTTATGTGCTTGGGTAAATAGATAGTTTGACATCCTGCCTAGGAAATGGTGTCCCCTGATCCTGCAGACTGGTCATTTTTTGAAGGCCTCTTGAAACTGGAATTCTTAATCTGTGTGACTAAATGGCTCCAGAGTTGGCACCTTTGATGACATGGGCATATCTTTCTTATGAATTGTAAGATAGATGTTGTGGTGGCCTGCAGTGCTGGAGTAATGACAAGGCTATCATTAGGGATATGTTGGAAGTTGCATCATCATTTTATAACGTGCAGGCCTAGGAAATGAGGCTGGAGGAGCCAGGCAATATATCAGCATTCATTGCTGATATATAGCTGGCCTCTCAGTTCTGAGCCCTTATTAACTGCCTTAAAATATAGATCAGAGATTATTGCTCCTTTTAAGCTAGAGGTGTCTCTGTGTGTGGTTGACTTGGAGGGACCAGGGTGCTGCCAGCTTGTGATGTATGTTTTCACTCACTACTGTAACCCCCTTTTTCTTTTTCTTTTTTTTTTTTTTTTCTTTTTAAATTTACAAATTAAATTTTTCAGGTTATTTACTTTCACAGCTCAGCATTTTGGAAATAATGTAGGTGGAAGGATTTCCTTTCATGGTAGCTGTAAGACCAGGATCTGCCAGAAACAGCCTGGTCCTGCCTCGGTGCAGGTCCTGGGGGCCAAGAGAGGCCTCAGCCCATCACTTCCAGGGTTTTTCTAAGTCACAAATCATGGTACCTCGGTATGATGATGTTTCATATGAGGCTTGGGTGAAGGGTCCACACCTCCATCCCATGGGGATGTCACTAGGGCATGGCCATCTCCCACATACCTCCTCGTACCCAGCTGACAGCACACCCAGCCTGGTGGCCTGGGGACAGGAGAATCCCCGGATGGCTGAGGTAAAATGAAGCTCAGGAGCTTTGTGATCAGTTTAAAAAAATAAAATAAAATAAAAGCAAACTATCAGACTTCAATACCGGTGCTGCAGATTTCCTTTTGACCCCTCCTCGGCTTCATCCCGAGGATGTGGACACAGGTGGGCTCCATTTTCTGAAGGAGGGCATCAGCAGTGTGGGTCATGGCTGCTACGCGCTGTGTGGTTCGCACACGTGAGGCCGCTGTGAGGAGGAGGAACATGAACTGATTCATTCCCTCGAGGGCTGTTTATGCTTTTGGCTCTTTTCTCAGGCTGAAGAAACCGGGTGTCACTAGCTCGCGACATCTGCAGATCCACCACAGCTGTGCGCTTTCATTTTCTCACTCCACAATTCCTGGAAATCTCTGCTTTCCCTGAGCATGGCTCATCCATGTGCATGACAGCTGAAGTATACACAGGATTTAAGAGTCCCTGATTACTTCTCAGACGATGGACCAGAACAGCTTCATGGCTGTTGCCTATTCCAGAAAAGCCACATGCCCATTTTTTATATGCACATGAAGGATAGCTCAACATCAATTTGCCAATAACATGTATGTTTACTAGTTGCTCAATAATGCACCATGGGCTTGGGGGTGTTTAGAGCTTTTCAAATACTTCTGAAGTTTCTCAGAACCAGGGACACCTCGTTTCCCAGCTCAAAACACTCTTACACTGGCAGCCTCCTTGCCCCAAAGCTTCTGTTGCAAACACCCCAAACAGGGATCTAATGTAACATTACCAATAGAAACTTAATTGTAACAGGGTGTTTGCAGAATCATGAGCCACTTAGTTGTTTTCTATTGTTATTTCCTTGGGTACACATTTATTTTAAGTCTTTCATCATTTCTATGGCATTACAGTTTGCTGAGAACAGTTGTTTGCAGTGCTAGGTGTACAAAATCAGGTGCACAGTTTGATCCAGAGCTTTACAAAAAAGCTTCTAAATGTACTAGGAGAAGACAAATGGCTAGAAGAGGTCAGTTAGTGTAAGTGAAAAAAATTTTTTTTTTTTTTCTGTCACAGTTTTCAAAAGCTAACAGCTGTAACAGACATGGTTTCTTTAGCTGAAGGAGGCTCACGAGGAAAAAAAAAAATAGACTTTCTTTTGCTCTGTTACAGTCTTCAGCATAATTCTGCCCTTACTGTAACCTCTGCGATTTGAAGAGCTGCTGTTGGGTTAGAAATTATATTGAAAATATCTCTTACGAAGATTGAAAATAGCAGATTATTAAAATGGAAAGAGAGTAATGCAAATCTTGAACCTGTCAAGTGTGCCTCACACACTTGATGCTATGCATATTATTTTAAGCACTAAGTTTGTGGGGATGACTTCTATGTGGAAATTTAAGCAAGTAAATCTTTGCAGATTCTGGCTTCATAGAGAAGTGGACCCATGGGTTTTCCTCTTGTTTGTTACAACTTCCGAGACAATTTTGCATTTTTTTATTTACAACAATGAGCTTAATTGCTGTTGTTGATCATCAAGTTCTGTAAGGGATTATTTTTCAGGGAAAAGGGATTCTCACCAGGAGGCTGAGTTACACCATTCATCCATTGAAAGGGAATATTTTACTTCTGTTTTAAATTAAAAATCAATAGAATATGTTTCCTTAGCAATTTAGCATTTATAGAAATATTTCCATTGTTTTTAGAGTGGGAAAACAAAACGAAACTTGTTTACAGAGCATGAATCTAAATGCAAATTTGGCTTGAGTATAAGAAGACTTCATAAAGGCTCTAACCCTTGAAAGGACATTGGTTAAGAAGAGTTGTCATTCACTATACAAAGAGCTGAAACCAGGGCTTATGAATGGACTGATAAGCTAAATGTTTCTATTTATTGTCTTTTACCTTCCAGGTTTATGACAGGCCACAAAAACATTCTGCTCTGCACTATGATCCAGGCCTCCAACAAGACTTCACCGGTGACACCTTAAAATCAAAGCACCAGCAGAAAAGTAGCAACCAGCACCATCTTGACTGGTCAACGAGCTCCGATACTGGACCTGCTTCTCAGAGTTGCTTTATCAACACAGAACCCAGTCGAGAAGCAGTTAGTGCCACCAAGGTCCCCACTCCGGAGCCAGGAGTTTCCTTCAGCAAATCCCAAGCAAAGAAGTCCTGTGCCAGCAGCACATGGGGGCAGCTGTCCACCAGTAGTAAAGAGCTTGCCATTTGCAGTGCAGTCCCATCACCCAACAACATCAGTGTGGCTGCCCAGCCAAGCGGTGCCTCTGAGTGCAATGGGATTTTGCCTCTCGGTGATCAAGATGGAGGTATGCAGCTGGAGGCCCCCGATCAGCTCATCGGGAGTACAAAGAAGAAGTCCAGCAAAAAGGACTTGATAAGTCAAACCATCCAAACCGCAGACATCGAATGGGTGAAGAGTGCTCAGAAAGCATTTGACAGCAAATCCCATGACAGCATGGAAGGGAAAAAGGAGTCTTACTCGATGGACAGTGTGTTGGATACGTCACCCTCTAAGCAGAATCCCACTTCTGTTAGCAGTTGTGAAAGTGACACCAGTCACGTACGAATTACTATCCCAATAAAGTCTCCGACAACAGATACTTCTGGCCACAAAAGGAAAAAAAGGCAATCCACAAAATCTTCCATAGAGAAAACTATCCAGGAGAAAAGCCTGCCTTCTGGACTTGCTATGAGCAGTGAAGTAGCAAATAGGACTAGCTCTCAGTCAGAGGGGAGTAAAAAAGATCTTCGAGCCACAAAGCCAGGGAAGGTGATTGAAAATGAATCCTCCTTAGCAGCTATCGACAGTGGTGTGCTCACTGACAAAGCATCCCCCAACAGTGCCACCAGACTCAGAAAATCTGTAGCTGTGACATCCACTCTCCTACCCACTGACCTTCCAACAGCTGGCAAATTATCTGAGGTCCAGCACCCCAAACATGCAGCTAAGCGACGATGGACCTGCAGCAAACCTAAATCTATCCTTCAGGAGACCTCCATGACAACATCTGAGAAGCTGATGGTGGAGCCTCCTTCAGCGTATCCCATCACACCATCCAGCCCTCTGTATACCAATACAGACAGTCTTACTGTGATCACACCTGTCAAGAAAAAAAGAGGACGACCAAAGAAACAACCTTTGCTCACTGTTGAAACCATTCATGAGGGAACCTCCACCAGCCCAGTGAGTCCAATCAATCGTGAATTTCCAGGAACAAAGAAAAGGAAGAGGAGACGGAATCTAGCCAAGTTGGCCCAGATGGTCCCAGGAGAGGACAAGTCCATCAGTGAACTCAAGTTTCACAAAAAGGTCGGGAAGCTTGGGGTCTTGGATAAGAAGACCATCAAGACCATTAATAAAATGAAGACCCTCAAGAGGAAGAATATTCTCAATCAGATCTTGTCCTCCTGCTCCAGCAGCATAGCTCTGAAAGCAAAAGTCCAGCCACCATCTAGTGCTGGGCCAACCACCATTGATGCCAGGCTAGGGAAGCAGATCAATGTCAGCAAGAGGGGGACTATATACATCGGTAAAAAACGGGGCAGAAAGCCAAGAGCAGAACTGCAGCCTCAGACAGAAGAACCTAAGACAGCCATCAAGCACTCAAGGCCTGTTTCCAGCCAGCCAGAAAACCCAGCAGTGCCTTCCAACCTGCAGTCACTTGTGGCATCGTCACCAGCAGCTATTCATCCGCTTTCGACACAGTTAGTGGGGACTAACGGCAACCTTAGCCCTGCAAGCACTGAAACAAATTTTTCAGAGTTAAAAACTATGCCAAATCTTCAACCTATCAGTGCTCTTCCTACAAAAACTCAGAAAGGAATGCACAGTGGAACTTGGAAGCTGTCTCCACCCAGGTTAATGGCTAATTCACCTTCACACCTCTGTGAAATAGGTTCTCTGAAAGAAGTCACGCTGTCACCGGTGAGCGAATCTCACAGTGAGGAAACCATACCGAGCGACAGTGGGATAGGTACAGACAACAACAGCACTTCTGACCAAGCCGAAAAAAGCTCAGAATCCCGCCGGAGATACTCCTTTGATTTCTGCACCCTGGACAATCCAGAGGCTATCCCATCTGACACCAGCACAAAGAACAGGCATGGTCACCGGCAGAAACATCTCATTGTGGATAACTTCCTCTCTCATGAGAGTATTAAAAAGCCAAAGCACAAGAGGAAAAGGAAAAGCCTGCAGAACAGAGATGACCTCCAGTTTCTGGCAGACCTTGAGGAACTCATCAATAAGTTTCAAGTGTTCAGGATTTCCCATAGAAGTTACACATTTTATCATGAAAATCCATATCCCAGCATCTTCAGGATTAATTTTGATCACTACTACCCTGTGCCATATATCCAGTATGACCCATTGCTCTATCTTCGCAGGACTTCTGACATGAAGTCTAAGAAGAAGCGTGGTAGACCTGCCAAAACCAATGACACCATGACAAAGGTGCCTTTTTTACAAGGGTTCGGTTACCCTATTCCCAGTGGGAGTTACTATGCACCCTATGGAATGCCTTACACATCAATGCCTATGATGAATCTTGGTTACTACGGTCAGTATCCAGCTCCTTTGTACCTGTCTCACACGCTCGGAGCGGCTTCCCCATTTATGAGACCTACCGTGCCCCCACCCCAATTCCATGCAAGCTCTCATATGAAGATGTCCACCACTGCCAAGCATAAAGCGAAACACGGAGTGCACCTACAAACACCTGTGGGAATGGGCCTTGGAGACATGCAGTCCTCCCTGGCTCCTCCAAAGGTTGGAGGAACAAGTCTGTCAAGTGGCCGACTTCACAAAAGGAAACACAAACATAAGCACAAGCATAAAGATGAGCGGATACTGGGGACACATGAAGATCTCAGTGGTCTCTTTGCTAGCAAGTCCACTGGCTTCTCCAGCCATGCAATCAGCGAAAGGCTAAGTGGCTCAGATAAAGACCTGTCTTTGCTCAACGAGAAAAGCAAGCATAAGGAGAAGCAGAAGCACCAGCATTGTGAAACTGGACACAAAGGCTCAAAGAGTAACTTTGAAGTGGATACGCTGTCTACGTTATCACTTTCTGATGCCCAGCAGTGGACACAGAGTAAAGATAAAAGTGACTCAAGCAATGATCCTATTGACTCTTGCACAAAGAGATACTCTGGTAATACTGAGAGTAATGGAAGGTCAGAGACCCTGGACATGTTTGGTGAAATGAATTCCTCGAGTGAGAAACGGGACAACGATGGAAGTGGGAATAAAAGAAGAAGCTTTGAAGGGTTTGGAACTTACAGGGAAAAGGACATTCAGCCCTTTAGGACAAATAGGAAAGATAGAAGTACTTATGATTCCTCAGCTTCTTCAGGTAAACTTTTTTTTTTTTTATCTTACTGCATTTAAATTTTAATGTTGAACAAAGAGTGACTTGACATTTACAGAAAATATGTTTACCAGTCAATAACTTATCTGTTTGTTTGTAATTGACCCCCATTCTGCATCCAAACTTTGGAGGAGATTGACAAGAAATTTGGCAACACATTAAGCCAAAACCTTTGAAAGTCTTTGAGCTGTTACCCAGCATTTTTATAAATGTTTGTCCTGCCTTTGCCTATTTCTTATAGCTTTTTGCGCTTCCTCCAAAAATCTCACCATTGCATTCTGTAGTAGCATCAATTATAGTACCTGTTGTCAAGGCAGGCATCTTATTGGTGTCTAATGTTGTGGGGTGGTAGTTGTTGCCCAGCCTTTGGGAGAACAGCCATGGTAGTCAGCAGAGAGTCTCTGTTCTGGCCCACAAAGTGTACAAAAGCCATTTGTTGACGGGATGGACCAGACACGTGGGAAGTTGTGGTGTTGGGTCAGCATCCCATGACTGTTGTGGGATACTGCTGATCCAGAGGGACCCATCATGGTGATAGCTGGGCTGAATATATGGAGACCCTGGGTACAATCCTAGTGTAAATCTGTCACTTCCAGTCGGCAGGTGTCATGTAAAGTAATTATCCTGAGCATTGAATGACTGTGGGAAGGGACTGATGTCATGGAAACAGTAAACCCTAGCTGATCAACTGAAGAGTTTCAGGACTCATGACTTGGAAATACAAGCTGAGTAGATGAGGAGGAAGGAAGCTCCTTTCAGCTGCTAGGGACATCTGTTCCTCTCCTGCAGAGGGGGGAAAAAAAAAAAAAAAAAAAAAGAAAAACCAGGAATCTGATTCTTGTCTGAGAGGCTGAATTGTACTTTACGATAGGGAGCTGCTTTCGTGATGACACAGAAGCAGGTGTTTTGCTGCAATGTATATGAATTTAACTTGGGAGCAAGCCCAGAGCTCCTGCACCGTCAGATATTTATCACAAAGCAGATTTCACACTTGGTTCTGGAAAAGGGTGAGCTTTACTGAACCAACCAGTGGTGGATGAGATTCTGATGTGCTAAAAAAGAGCTTCCAAGAAATGTAATTCATAGTCTCCAAAGTGTAAAGAGAATCCACTGAGAACACAGAGGGAGCAGAAAATATGTATAACCTGCCAATGTAAGGCTCTTAAGTTTTTTATTGACTTGTAACTGATTGAGATCCAAAGACTGTTCATGCTTAAGCCACCTAGATGTTTTAATTTCCTTCACTGAGACCAGGATCTGGACTATAGCAATGAAAAGCAGTCTGAAATGAGAGCTTATCCCATGAAAATATTCCCATTCATAGTATCATATCATATCAGACCAATTGTGATACCCATAAATATTTGAAAAGAGACTGAATTCAGTCACTTGTTATATCAGGGTTGCTACATGCCTGACAAAGAACAAAATTATTTTCCACTGAGTGCTGCGGTGGCTATTGCATCAAGGAAGTTGTATCCTAGCAGATAAGGGTTAAAAGTCTTCCAAATTTTTAACAAGGTTATTTCTCAGTGTTTTAGTGGATGTTACTGATTTCACAGTTTAATAACAGTTGGATTTGTAGCCTTTTTGATTTCTGAACAGAAGATGTTTGCTAAACTTGTACTTTCCAATTTAATGTTTTTCACTTAGGCGTAGCAAATTGTCAAGAGAAAATTCTCAGAACTGCCGAACCCAAATGAGTTTCCAAAGTAGGGGCATGATCCCCACCAAGCTGACTTGGAAATATAATTGATAAAGAAGAAGTTCATTTCATGTTATTTTCCTTCAGATTTTTGTCCATGACAATAAAAACATAAGATGGAGTGGTAGAACTTACAGTAGTAGCTCCATCAGATTTGCTGTTTAAACTTTTAAAACTAGTTCTCATTTAAACTAAAATTATTGTTTTTATTTATCTTTACTTTTCATGATTACAACTGCACATCGTTCCCCATGACCTAATCCATCAAGTCGTAGGTTATGAACTGGTTTCTTCATTGTCAAGCTATTATTTAGATGGAAAAATCGTCAGCAGTTAGCTAAGCAGAGTCAGTTAACCAGAGCCATACCTTGCACTACAAAGGAAAATACTAAAACTAATCAGCTCTGCCAAGGAAGACCTGGAGCCAAGACCACTCATTAAAGCCTAGGAACATCTGTCTGCTTATGACTGTCTAAGATCTCAATGTAGCTTTTCTTCCTCTCTGTCTTTGACCTTCAGTGGGGTTCCCAACAGAGTTCCGTACTTGAGTCTAGTCATAACTATTAACTGGTTCCCACTGAGGAGGGATTAAACTTTTCCATTATAACCTTGACCTTCTTTCTCCTAGTTCACCTTGCATTTCCCTGAGGTGGCTAAACAGTGAGTGACTAATTATAAAAATAAAAGGTAAATGGAAAAACAACCCTATGACAACATATAGCTCTGTCCCAGGAGGCAATTTCCATAGACTGATTTCTCTTGCCATTCGGTATTTGTCATCTTTCACAATATAAAAATAATATGTAACAGAGATAAGAGGAGACATCCTGAATATTCAGATGAAAGCTGGAAATAGATTTATATCACAATTTCAGTGTTATCTTTACTGCATGGGCATTTTGGCATGCTCAGTAATGCCATTTGCAACTTCATTGTATGTTGCTGGAGATGAAATATGGAATGAAAACCACCCACGCTCAGTAGAGATATCTGTGATAAAAGTGATGGGAGAACCATTTAGTGCTCATTGGCATTCAGGCGCTGCAGTTTGTTTCAGTGTAGTGTGTTGGTGCAGGTGCCATTGTATTGTTGTTATTATTATTATTATCTGTGTTGTAACAGCACTTAGCCATGTCTGAAAAGTTCAGTATTCCATGTAGTGGTCACACATATGGTAGAAAACAGTCCTGTCATACAACCTGAAGGCCTGTGTATGCTTTTACAATCCCGAAAGATTAGGATGTCAAAGGAAGAGTCGTCTGTCTTACTTTCTGGAGGAGCTGCTCGCAGTCCTGGCATGAGAGTGAAGGGTCCCATTGAGGGATTTCCGCCAGTCACCATAGTTGGCCACAGCAAACGTCCGTTACTTGTACTGCACCAGCTTGGGCTATCATTGGCCATTCATTAGTGGAGACCTTGTGAGCTTTGGCTGATTTAACATCTCTTGGGACCTCTTGGTGTTAATGCATATGTTAATGCATATGGCTATTGTCCCAGTGCACTGCCTGTTTCTGCACCATTGTTTGGGAGAAACTGGAGTCCTTTCCACAAACGCTAATTAATAACCTTTTCCATCTTCATTCTCATCCACGCCCCGTGACCTGTTGCTACCTGCTGCAGTTTTCTGAAATTGCTATTTTTGTAAGATTCTTTGTGCTCACCTAATCCTCCTGCATTTAGACAGACTAATTAATCAAAACTAATTAAACCCTGCTTTCCTGTTTGGTTGATGCAGAAGACTACTCCAGTGGCATTAATTTGGACTATAGGCAAGGATATAGCAACAACTCTTTGAGATCCTGCCTTCCCACAGTCATATTGTCGCTTGGGCACATCCTAAACTAAACTTTCAAGTTGTGTGCACCAAGCATTGACTCAGTTGACTCCCTCCTTCCACTCCCTGAAGCCCAAGGTGCATCTCACACATTTGCAAAATGTTGTTGGGGCACCTCTGGCACTCCGTGACCTGAGGAACTGTGCGCAGCTGGATGGCTGATCCTTTCATCTGCTCTCCAGCAGTTACTAAAGCCCCAGGTGGGGGACCCAGGGAGACACCACAGATGGGGAGACTGAAAGCAGATTTTAAAAAAGAAAGCTGTGTTTTAAGAAAGCTGTATTTTAAAGAGGTCCTCATAGCAAACTCCACATCTCCTTGTCATGTGTCTGCCTGCTACGCTTTCATACATGATGCTGAAGAAGAGACTTGTATTTCTGATGAGCAGTCTCGGTGTCATAGCTTGTGCCTTGGAAAAAGCAAGCATGGGTACCTCTCCCCTATTTCTTTAGGTGGGCAAATGAGGAAAAGCACATTTAACATTTTAAGGTGCACAGATAAGATGGCCATTGATGTATATGACCTGTCTGATTGTGTCCTAGTTACCATCCCTGCAGGCCAGGATGTAGCTGGGGATGAAGCAGAGGTCAAAAGTTACTATATTCAGGATAGCATGTCTGCTTTTCTTTGTAGTAAGACAAATCAAGGTCTATGCTACTTTATGCTCACAGTATTTTTGCCTCTTTTTTAAAAAAAAGCTATGATTATACTAGCAAAGATTAACTTGCTTGCATATTGGGCATCATGTCTCAAAGATCAGCTAATAAGTACATGGTTTTCATCTGATGTAGCACAAACACCATGCACAGTAAATTTACAGGAATATGAAGTTAATCATATGCAGCTATTAGGAAGGTAGTAATCATTAGTCTCCAGGTGCTGGACAGTTAGCGTGACAAACATGCTTTACAAAGTAATGCTTAATTTACCTAGAAGCCACACACACACCTTCCTACCTCAACGTCCAGCACTGCTACAAGCTGAATTTCTTCTGATTTGAACTTTCCTCCTTAGCTAGTCTCTATGGTGCTGGTTTAACTCTGAAGGGATCAGTATCAGCTTTAGATGGATGATGGGAATCACACAGTGAGTAGTGTTTGGCCCTATGATTTGAGTGGGAGAAGAGGGGCTATGTCATGCATGTGTACATATGCAAGTCACACTTATTAAATACACGACCGTATGTTGTATTTGTTTAAAGTTATTTTCCAGTGTCTTTGTCTTAAAAGTTCCCCTGTTCCTGTTCAAAAGCCTGACATTGGGTGATTAAACCTTCCAAAGAGGGAGTAGGAGGAATACTGGAGGAAGGGAGGAGAAGTGACAATCAAATGAAATGAACAGCATTCATCTGATGTCACTACAAACACACAGATAAGTAACTGTGCTCTGCCGAGGAGTGTCATTTATCCAGATGAGATTTCTTCCCTGACAAAACTCCCCTCCATG